AATATGTACTCAGTGAGGTAGTTAAAACTATTAATTTTCTCAGTATGACTCAGTACTAGGATAGTAAGTGCGGCGTGTGATCACCTCAGAAGTTTACATAAAAGACAACTTTTATACCCGAGTACGAGAATGTTGACTCAGTTTTACAAGTTGCGGGTACAGATAATTTCATTTTTTTAATTGGATGGTGCTGTTGAACCAGCAGTTTAAGTGTGCTGGTTCACGTGTCACATGACATCACGTGTCACATGACATCACTACGCGATGTAACGGGTTTCAAAGTTCAGAGTAAATCTGATGTAATTCAACTGAAAGTCAGATTTCTGCGGTAAGAGCTTTTTTTTTCGGAAAATATTGAGCACTTTATAAGCCAAATATTTTTTAATTAATGAAGAAAGTTTTTCCCCTCAGTGAAAAAATCTAAATTTTAATGATACTTTATTTTGTGCTTTGCCTACCAATATTAGAGAAAACATTTTCTCCAACAGAAACATTTGACCGATTTAAAATCGTTTCTCTGCATCCAAAACTGTCAAAATTATTATTGAAATAGAACGAACAACTTGCAGACATTCTGACTAATATCACTTTAGAAAGTTTTTGAATTCAGATGTATAAAAAAAATCTAGAGGTTGATACATAAGCTTTGAAATACAGCCTCTCCTCACTTAACGACGGAGTTCCGTTCCTAAGACCACGTCGTTAAACGAACTCGTTGGTAAGTGAGGAACATACTATAATGGTAATGAGCTTGTGTCAACCATCATTCATAGTTTTAATTTCACTTTTGAACCATTCATAACATTTACAACATTTCGGTATATTTTTAAATGTTTATACAGAAGTGTACTATACATATATTAAAATAAACAGAATAGAGAATATCAGCTCTAATATACAGTATTTAAGTGTGAATACTAGTCACGGAGCCGGTCATAAGTCCGAGGCGTCGGTAAACGAGTACGTCACTAAGTGAGGAGAGACTGTATTTTGCCGACTTTTGGACGACTTAAGTTACATAATAACATCTTTTACTTCACCATTATTACTGGGAACGCTTTAAATCACTTAATCTGTAATCACTGGAAGGCAGGCGACAGAGATACATCATAATCTATATCTGGAAAATCCTAGACGGGTCCCAAATCTGCTCACGTAAATTACTCCCTACGAAAGTAAAAGGCTAGGCAGACGGTGCAACATACCCTGCATGAAAAGTACAGGCGAATTTGGTACACCAAGGGAAAACACAGTAAGTGTCAGGGACCCAAGACTGTTCAGCATCCTCCGACCAGACATGAGGGAATTACCAATAGACCCCTGGCTGCCTTCCAGGAGCTGGACAGACACCTAACGTCAGTACATGATCAGCTGGGCTGAGGTTCGTACGTTCGTTTACGTGCAGCCAGTAGTAATAGCCTGGTTGATAAGGCCCTGATCCTCCTGGTCAAGCACAGGGCATCGGGGGCGTTCGCCCCCGAAACACCCTCAAAGCAGGTAGACTGATAATATACTCCAGGAGTTTTCTCAAGCTCCTGGAGAGCGAAACGTTGCCACAATAAAGTAACATCAGTTGCACTTGTGTCCTCTTACCCACCTTACGTTATACATGAGATCCTGTTCTTTATATCCGGCAAACGAAATAAACAGTTTTCTCAATTTTACAAAATGACCTCTATTGCAGGTTACATTAAAGTCTTCAAATATTGAACTTTTATCCTAGGAAAAGCAATAACAGTCACGTGAATGATCAGTTATTTGATGTGTTAACACAGCATGTGGATGTGTTAACACAGCATGTGGATGTGTTAACACAACATGTGGATGTGTTAACACAGCATGTGGATGTGTTAACACAGCATGTGGATGTGTTAAACAGCATGTGGATGTGTTAACACAGCATGGGGATGATGTTAACACAGCATGTGGATGTGTTAACGCAGCATGTGGATGTGTTAACACAGCATGTGGATGTGTTAACACAACATATAGGATGTGTTAAACACAGCATGTGGATGTGTTAACACAACATGTGGATGTGTTAACACAGCTGTGGATGTGTTAACACAGCATGTGGATGTGTTAACACAGCATGTGGATGTGTTAACACAGCATGTGGATGTGTTAACACAGCATGTGGATGTGTTAACACAGCATGTGGATGTGTTAACACAGCATGTGGATGTGTTAACGCAGCATGTGGATGTGTTAACACAGCATGTGGATGTGTTAACGCAGCATGTGGATGTGTTAACACAGCATGTGGATGTGTTAACACAACATATGGATGTGTTTAACACAGCATGTGGATGTGTTAACACAACATGTGGGATGTGTTAACACAGCATGTGGATGTGTTAAACAAACATGTGGATGTGTTAACACAGCATGTGGATGTGTTAACACAGCATGTGGATGTGTTAACACAGCATGTGGATGTGTTAACACAGCATGTGGATGTGTTAACACAGCATGTGGATGTGTTAACACAGCATGTGGATGTGTTAACACAGCATGTGGATGTGTTAACACAACATGTGGATGTGTTAACACAGCATGTGGATGTGTTAACACAACATGTGGATGTGTTAACACAGCATGTGGATGTGTTAACAACAGAATGTGGATGTGTTAACACAGCATGTGGATGTGTTAACACAGCATGTGGATGTGTTAACACAGCATGTGGGATGTGTTAACACAGCATGTGGATGTGTTAACACAGAATGTGGATGTGTTAACACAGCATGTGGATGTGTTAACACAGCATGGGGATGTGTTAACACAGCATGTGGATGTGTTAACGCAGCATGTGGATGTGTTAACACAGCATGTGGATGTGTTAACACAGTATGTGGATGTGTTAACACAGCATGTGGACGTGTTAACACAGCATGTGGATGTGTTAACGCAGCATGTGGATGTGTTAACACAACATGTGGATGTGTTAACACAGCATGTGGATGTGTTAACACAGCATGTGGATGCGTTAACACAGCATGAGGATGTGTTAACACAGCATGGGGATGTGTTAACACAGCATGTGGATGTGTTAACACAGCATGTGGATGTGTTAATACAGCATGTGGATGTATTAACACAGCATGTGGATGCGTTAACACAGCATGAGGATGTGTTAACACAGCATGGGGATGTGTTAACACAGCATGAGGATGTGTTAACACAGCATTGAGATGCGTTAACACAGCATGTGGATGTGTTAACACAGCATGTGGGTGTGTTAATATAGCATGTGGATGTGTTAAGACAGCATGGGGATGTGTTAACACAGCATGTGGATGTGTTAACACAGTATGTGGATGTGTTAATACAGCATGCGGATATGTTAACACAGCATGGGGATGCGTTAACACAGCATGTGAATGTGTTAATACAGCATGTAGATGTGTTAACACAGCATGTGGATGTGTTAACACAGCATGTGGATGTGTTAACACAGCATGTGGATGTGTTAACACAGCATGTGGCTGTGTTAATACAGCATGTAGATGTGTTAACACAGCATGTGGATGTGTTAAGACAGCATGGGGATGTGTTAACACAGCATGTGGATGTGTTAACACAGCATGTGGATGTGTTAACACAGCATGTGGATGTGTTAACACAGCATGGGGATGTGTTAAACAGCATGTGGAGTGTTAAAATTGGGGTGTATTGTGGATGTCATTAGTGGAGTCATCTGGGGATGTCGTGTAGTGGATTCATTGTGGATGTGTGTAGTGGATTCATCTAGTGGATGTGGTAGGGGAGTTCTAGGGATGTCGTTAGTGGGTCATTAGTGGATGTGTGTAGTGGATGTCATCTAGTGGATGTCGTGTAGTGGATGTCATCTAGTGGATGTCGTGTAGTGGATGTATCTAGGGATGTGTGTAGTGGATGTATCTGTGGTGTCGTGTAGTGGATGTCTCTAGTGGAGTCGTTGTGGATGTTTTTTTTTATTGTTATAAAATAGGGGAAGAATTTGGATAAATTTTTGTATGTTATAGTTTCCCATTTCACTTCTACGACTTTTTGTGGCATTTTTCGTAACGTTTGAAGGTGAGCCCAGTCATTTTTCCGCTTAAGAGCAGATTTGTCCCATAGTACTCACTTTAAAGGGCAGTTATTTTTCCCATAGTACTCTACATTAAGGGCAGATTATTGTACCACTGTATCTCATTAAGGGGATTATTGTCCCACTATTTTCTACATTAGGGCAGTTTTTGTCCCCTATCTCTACTTTGGGGCAGATTATTGTACCATAGTATTTAAATTTAAAGGGGCAGTTTTATTGTCCCTATATTAATCATGGAAACATTATTGTCCCACTAGTATTATTAATGTAGATATAGTGTTACAATAATCTCCCCTTAAAGAGCGGGGGGACCACTCGCTCCCAAGAAGGATTACCTGCTCCCACTTAGCTCTATACACTTTTTGGGAGATAGGGAAAAATTTGGTTGTTACCTGAGGGGACGGGGGCGTTTTAACATTTATGTGTTTAGATAGGCTCTGGAATCTTTCCAGATGAGGGCCTCTGAGGAGTCATGGAAGCTATAAGGTTTAAGGGGGCTTTAAAAGTTTATGTGAAAAGGAAGGAAGGGTAGGGAATGTGTTTGAACGATCAGATGGGTTTGGAATGGGATGGAGTCAGGAGGGAAGGGGTTTATTAAAGGACGTTATGTAGGGTAAGGTTAGGAACATGGGTGAGGCGAACGGATTTGTGGCGGTGAGTGTGAGAAAACCCACTCTCTCTCTCTCTTCTTCTCTCTCTCTCTCTCTCTCTCTTCTCTCTCTCTCTCTCTTCTCTCTCCTCTTGGCTCTGCGGTTACACTTTATTGCTCTTTCCAAAAATTGTTCTGCCTTTTAGAAAGTATATATCCACGTTATATGCATGCATTTTCTAACCATCCTGTATAAATTTTTTATTATTTTTGAGTTTACCCTTCACAGCTTCTGAAGCTAGGGCAACAAAAACGGGGGAATTTGTTATGTAGTTTATGAGCTCCTCCATACACCGTCATGTCAAGTAATTCTATCGACTTGTTATAAGACCTGCTGAATGCATCGGTAGAAGACTGGCTGAGAACATGGAAGAACAAGAATTGGAAATATTTACAAGGGAAATGTCAAGGAAGCAGAACTGCTACTAAAAGTGATCACTAAAGCGTAAGTAAGGACAGCTAGAGTGTAGACAAGTAGACGTTGCAAGCAAGTTTTCTGCTGTAAGATTTTTCATTATTCCTAAAGTTACATTCAATAATCTGTATTGATTTTGGTCTCCTAGTGAAGATAATTATTTTAATTCGAACTGTTTTAAACTCATCTCAAGCACAACTCTGGATGTAAACAGATTGGTTGGTGTGACGGCCTGCGTGGTGCGCTGGCTGCATGACGGAGGCCCAGTGCCTGCAGTGCTCCATCTGGTCCTCACCTCACAATCTCCTCCTCAATGCTCGCCTCATGCAACATGTCCTCCAGTGGTGTGCTGGGGACGGCCTCTCCAAGGATGGCCAGGATGCCACATATCCTAGATCTACATCAGGTAAGCAGATGTCTTGTTTTCTTAATAAAAACAGAGATACCAGGTATTGTCTCATTACTCTGTGGTCATAATTTTTTTAAATTGGGATAACTATAATTCCCATAAGCTAAAGAATATTTATCCAGTTAGTGAATTATCATGCGACAGATAGCCTGGTCAGGTTGAATTTAACGGGATGTTATGCAACGAATCTTAGAGTCAGGCTACCTGGAGTATACTTGCAGAGGGTTTCGGGGGTCAACGCCCCCGTGGCCCGGTCTGTGACCAGGCCTCGTGGTGTACCTGGGCCTGATCAATCAGGCTGTTACTGATGGCCGTTACTGTTGTAATCTTTTTACCTGACAAGCAAAATATCACCATATACTGACAGTGTCTATCAGTGTCCTTTGCTTCTTCCCATGCTCCTGTTACTACACAGTTTCTCTGTGGTAACTACGGAATGCCTCTTTCGATAAACGTCAGTTTTTCCAGGCTTGTGTATTTAAGTAAATTGCTTTTGGGGCAGTGCTCTCTTAGCCCTGTCTTCTAAAATATTAAGTTAACTGATCACTATCACACTAACTACACCTGTTATGAAAGAAAAACAAGCAACTTTATTACTGAAAATAATATAAAATACCGTCAACTTGAAGATTTAGAAACCTGGACATTGTCTGGAATGATATCGTTCCAGACCATGGAGCTGAGCTCTTCTCCAGGCTGAGGGACTGACCACATACCACATACACATTCACTGACCTATAACACCCACACCTGCATGCAGAGCTGAAAGGTAAAGTGAAGATCAGTTGCAAATAGGATACAAGAAGGATGGCAGTAGAGTATACCTGTGGGACATGTGAAAAGGCTCTTGGGAAAAAATCTAGAATCACATGCATCCTTTGCTTTTCAAAACATCATGTTACCTGTGCAAGAATAAACACTGCAACCAAAAATGACATCTATCCAGATAGGCATTTCTGGATCAGCAACAGGGATGTGGAACTATGGACAGATATCAGGAAAGCACTCAGGAGGTTAATAAACAATAAACATGAGAAAAAGGAGGAACTATTGAATAGTCTACCTGGAATATAAAGAGCATGGGAAGATAGGAGAGGAGTAAAGTCTAACACATAGAATGCCCAGTCTACAACAACTGACCCAAAAATAAGCAGATACCCACTGGAAAAAACACAGGAAACAAAAACAACAGCTAGCTCAGTCCCCAGCCCTAGGGCTGACCCAGACCCAGCCCCCAGCCACTGTGAAAATCCGGATTCAGTTAAAGACTCCTCCACAGCCACCAACACCATAGCCCCTAGTACAGATGTAGTAGAGGAGTCCTCCTCTGGGGTAGACTCTTCTGCAGCCATCACAGTCATAGCCTCTAGTAATGTAGTCGGGGAGTCCCCTTCCAGGAAAAATGTTGGTGCCATGACAACAGATGGTGGTGTCTCTGGTTTGGCTATGGAGGACTGTAGTGCAGCTCTAGGGCCAGCACAGATTAGGAATATATCCAGTACGAATTGTACCCAGACAAAAACAAAATGGTGCAAATTCTATGTTTGGGGCATCTGTAAACACGGAATATCAGGGAAAACGAATGGGGCATGCAACTCTGAGAATCCCAAAAAATGCCGTGACCTCCTGTCTAAGAGAGTGTATCGTTCTACCTCTTGCAAATACTTCCACCCTGAGATGTGTCAGTCTTCAGTCCTTGAAAAACAATGTTACAATACCAATTGCACTGCATACCATCTAAAAGGGACCAGGAGGCACACACCCCGTACAACACATCATAGTAACTATGGTAGCTATGACAACACCCCAAGTGATTTTTTAGTGGTAGGAAACGAAGAAAGAAAATGGAAAGAGATAACCAAAATAGTCCACCACCTTGGAGCCTTGTTGGACTGGAGGCACAGCCAGTGGCACCTCCGGGCTCACAGCTACTGATGCCAACAACAAAATCCCCCCAACAAGCATGCAACACAACCTCATTTATATTTGCTAATATACAGGACCTTAAGCCATCCACAAACAACAAAATACATTTCATTAGTGGACTTCTAGGGGAGTCAAATTCACTGTTTGCAGCCTTAACAGAGACCCACACAAAAGATTACTTTAACAGTGAAATATGGATACCTGGTTACAACCTCTTCAGATGCGACAGAAAGAATAGGCAACAAGGGGAGGTTGGCCTGTACGTCAAAGAGTCGCTCATTTGCACAGAGATACTGAACACCACAAATGATGTAGTTGAAGTTCTGACAATAAAAATCGAGAACCAAAACTTAGTCATTGTACCCCTATATATAAGCCACCAGACGCAACTTCCCAACAATTCAAAGAACAACTGTCAAAAAATGACTCCTGTCTGGAAAACTTTCCAGTCCCATCCCCAAACATCTTGCTGCTTGGTGACTTCAATCTAAGACACACAAAATGGAAGAATATAGCAAATAATGTTGTAGCAGAAATAATCCCTGGAGGCAGCTCAGATGAAAGGTCACACACACAGGAGCTGCTGAATTTCTGCAACAAACACACCCTAACTCAGCAGATAGTGGAGCCAACAAGACTGGAGAACACACTGGACCTTATTTTCACAAATAATGTAGACCTGGTAAGGAACATAACAATATCAAAAACAACATATTCTTATCACAATCTAATCGAAGTCCAAACTTGCATGTACAGGAGTCCTGATCGGCAAGATGCACACAGTTATGAGGGTGCCTTTACCAAATTCAACTTCAACAACAAGAACATTATCTGGGATCAGGTAAACTATGCCTTAAATGAAACATGCTGGGAGGATATCTTAAATTACATGGACCCTAACCAATACCTCGAAAAGATCACCCTCCGGGTGGCTGAAGTATGTTCAAGGTATATTCCTATAAGACAAAAGAAAGGAAGTAAACTGGAGAGAGAGAGACGCTCCCTCTACAGGAGAAGGCGAAGAATCATTGAACTCCTCAAGAATGCCAGATTATCTGATATACAGAAGGAAGTACTAACCAGGGAAGTGGAAAATATTGAGCTAAAGTTAAAGGACTCATACAGGATCCAGGAGAGACAAGAGGAGCTAAAAGCGATTAATGAAATTTAAAGAAATTCGAAATATTTCTTTTCATATGCCAAAAAGAAGTCAAAAACCACTTCTAGTATAGGGTCCCTGCTCAGACAAGACGGATCCTACACTGACGACAACAAAGAAATGAGCGAGATACTGAAATCGCAGTATGACTCAGTGTTCAGCGAGCCACTAACCAGTTTAAAGATAGACAATCCAAACAATTTTTTCATGAATGAGCCTCAAAACCCTGCCAATGTAGGCAAGATTTATGATTTAACTCTAACTCCACTAGACTTTGAGAGAGCCATCGACGACATGACCATGCACTCAGCCCCAGGCCCTGACTCGTGGAACTCTGTGTTCATTAAGAACTGCAAGAAACCCCTCTCACGGGCCCTAAGTATGGTATGGAGAAGGAGCTTAGACACAGGCGAGATTCCACAGTCACTAAAAACAACAGATATAGCCCCACTCCATAAAGATGGCAGCAAAGCAGTAGCTAAGAAAAATAGACCAATAGCTTTAACGTCCCATATCATAAAAATCTTTGAAAGAGTTCTAAGAAGCAGGATAGCAAACCACCTGGACTCCCAAAAATTGCACAACCCAGGGCAACATGGTTTCAGAGCCGGTCGCTCCTGCCTGTCGCAACTGCTTGACCACTATGGTCCTAGATGCACTGGAAAACAAACAGAATGCAGATGTAGTATACACAGACTTTGCAAAAGCCTTTGACAAGTGCGACCATGGTGTAATAGCACACAAAATGCGTGCTAAAGGGATAACCGGCAAAGTAGGCAGATGATCTTCAACTTTCTAACAAATCGCACACAAACAGTAGTGGTAAACAGAGTTAAATCAGATGCTGCCATAGTGAAGAGCTCTGTCCCACAAGGCAGAGTACTCGCCCCTATCCTGTTCCTTATTCTCATATCAGACATAGACAGAAATGTAAACCACAGCACTGTATCATCTTTTGCAGACGATACTAGGATCTGCATGAGAGTGTCATCCATTGAGGACACGGCAAAGCTCCAAGAAGATATAAACCAAGTTTTCTAATGGGGAACAGAGAACAATATGATGTTCAGTGAAGACAAATTCCAACTACTCCGTTATGGAAAACTGAAGGAAATAATAACTAGGACTGAGTATACTACAAACTCCAATCACGCAATAGAACGGAAAAGTAATGTGAAGGACCTGGGAGTGGTAATGTTTGAGGATCTCACCTTCAAGGACCACAACGATGCCACTATCACATCTGCGAGGAAACTGATAGGATGGATAATGAGAACATTCAAGACAAGAGATGCTAAGCCAATGATGATCCTTTTTAAATCTGTACATTAACATCCCCATTCAAGGCAGGTGAAATTGCAGAACTAGAGAATGCACAGAGAACCTTTACTACACGTATAAGTTCCATCAACCACCTTAACTACTGGAAGCGCCAGGAAGCACTTGACTTGTACTCACTAGAGCGCAGGCGAGAGAGATATATCATAATCTACACCTGGAAGATTCTGGAGGGACTGGTCCCTAATATACACACAGCAATCACTGCATACGAAAGCAAAAGACTTGGCAGACGATGCAAATACCTCTAGTGAAAAGTAGGAGAGTCACTGGTACACTAAGAGAAAACGCAATAAGTGTCCGGGGCCCAAGACTGTTCAACAGCCTCCCACCAGCAATAAGGGGCATTACCAGTCGACCCCTGGTTGTCTTCAAGAGGGAACTGGACAGATACCTAAAGACGGTGCCGGATCAGCTGGGCTGTGGTTCGTACGTTGGATTGCGTGCGGCCAGCAGTAACAGACTCGTTGATCAGGCCCTGATACACCGGGAGGCCTGGTCGTGGACCGGGCCGCGGGGGCGTTGATCCCCGAAATTCCCTCCAGGTAGACTCCAGGTAGACCTCAAATACTTT